ACTGACTGACTGACTGACTGACTGACTGACTGACCGACTGACTGACTGACTGACTGACTGACTAACTGACTGACTGACTGACTGACTAAACAACTAAATAATTAAAACTAATTTGCGCCTATTGTAATCCTCTCAGTAGCATTTCTGTATTTAGGACAGGCTTTACCAAACAAAAAATAAGGCCAAGAGACTATTGCTACTGGAGCGAAGCATTTGTGCAATGTCCTTACAAAAGGTAACTTCAGAATGGTCTTGGTGTTGGCATATGTCCGGCTTGCTAATAAGACAAAATAAATTTATGCTGACAAACGAAAAAATTGACCACATTGCGAGAAATCTGCAAGGTAATGTATCGACAAAGCTAGTCTACTAGGCGACCATGGTAATCTACAAACCTAAAGGTCGATTTAAGGCCAGATACAAAAACATGGTTTAACGGGCCTTCATTTTCCTTGTAATACTATTTTCCGAGGTACCTATTCACTATTCGCTCGTTTACTCGAGCGTTCTCAGATTTTTTGACAGCCGAAAAAAGTCCCTAAAAAACCTTTGAACATGAATTTTAATTTATAAAAATGTGCACTTGATAGCGGTTTAGGAATCTCCCCACATGACTAGTCACATTTGCGATAAAATTCACCAGTTGCCAAAGGTTCAATCAAATATTTTATGCTCATCCAAGTCCCCGTGATTAATCCGTAGTTACCGACTGGCTACCCGAAAAATATTCATTTACCATACGTTCTGCGTAGTTTTTACCAGCCACCCTCTTGCGCTCATTGGCTCTGAGACTTATATTTTTACTTTTCACTTTCATGGTTGCACCGGCTGTGGTCATTGGCACCATTTAGTAAATGAAGATCACGGGTTCCCTAGTATTATCCAAGAATGGGTGTAGCGGTGATACTACTGATAGGAGCCATGCGAGTAGGATGTGTTGTTCTTGGAAATTCGCTTTGCGTCTCTTGAGAAGGAATTTGTGGAGTCGCTTTGTAGCATTTGCATGGATTTGAGCAATGAATGATTTGAGTCAGTGAATATCCAAAAAAGTTCAAGAAGACGCATTCAAGAGATGTATATTCATTTTTTGTAAATACGATGCAAATGAGAGGTTTGCTTCCCTGTCCAATAGTCTGTAACTGGTCAGTTGGCATTTTCTAATAAATAACTCCGCATCGAAAGCCTTCTTCCTTTCACTGGTAACCAGAGCCGTCCGCAATGCGACAACACTAACACTGTAGCTTACACACCTGGCCTGGCTTCACGCCAACAGCAGTACTTTCAGCTAGAATCTTTTAGAATACTTCACAGATGCCTCCAGGCTTTACGCACCAACAATAATCCTGAGGCGTTCTAAAATGCCGTCAGTTGAAATCAATTTGAATAACACTGCAAAAATACTAACGCCACGAGGTTACATTACGTTGGCTTTTATTTCATCAGCTGCACTACTGAAAAACCTTCAATTTTGCACCTAGGGTAACTTGTGTCAAGTTTCTTTGTGCTCACGAGCGTTACTGAAAACCGACAAATTTGAATTGACATTGCGCTGTAAATTTCTGAGGTCAACTCTGATCTAGTGGTTAAAACTTGTCTGGCGATCGATGAGACAGTTCTCCGTGTCTCAGCTTGCAGCCATCGGTCGATCGACTGGTCACCTGACTCGAATAAGGAGGCAAATGCTCTGGGACCCGTTCGCGAATGTACATATCACCGCTCGTGCACGTACTTTGATACAAAACGTGTGATTCAAAGAAATTGGGTACAACACGCGGCGCGCATAGGAGGTGGACTTGTCTGGCTAAGAAGAGTAGGATTATTTGAGTGGCTGGGTAGGTACAAACGATTACTGCACTTAAGCTGTGCCGTATAACCGCAATTAGGTGAGTTCCCTTAAACGGCAGTCTGGTAAAATCCCCTTCTTAATGAGTAGTCAGGCCGCGGCACGTTGTGGATGCTGATATAAATCGGTGTCTTTTTTGAAGACTGCTCTTTTTTCCAGAGGGCTGGAGTACAAGTAAGACTGGCATGGTCTAAGAAAGTATGTACCAAGCTTCTTTTGTGAGAGTTGGTCTCGCAGTCGTCCTCCCATTGTTCACTGCCTAAACGCAATCGCATTTCCTAGCAGGTCAACGCAATCTCATCCTCAAACTTCTCAATTTGTTTAAATCATTCACTTCTCGTCGCCAAAAAAACTGGTAAACCGCAGATGTATTACGGTCTATATAACAAAGCTCTTTTTGAGCAATTAAAACTAGCCGCGTTAGAAATGAGACCTCACAAGCCACCCTCAGGTGCAGGCTTTTGGATATGTCTTGATGTTTTTTTGTAATTCGAGAAGAATGTGACATGTCCCAACTTATTAGTGATTAAAAACCAGTATGGCCAAACTCAGCCTCTCAGCCTTCTGCCTCGTTTTGTTTTCAGATTGTCGCTACCTACCAAAGTAATAACTGTTGATATTTCAACCGAAAATCGCCCTTTGCTGGTAAGGGATGGGAACAAAGAAACAAAGTTTCCAACACAAGGCCAGCCGTTCATAGCCACGACCGACAATTCTGCTTGTAGAGGAGGGATCAAGTATTGTGCAGTAGAAGGGGTTAACTATACACCAAACAGGTGTGGTCAGGTTTCTGACAAAGACGGTCTTCATCTGATGTTTTAACTGTCCGAACCAAGAAAGTCCCTGCAAAACCATGTTATATAAGCTGTATTTCACTAAACATATATCTCGAGACAAGATACCCAGCTGTACTCACATTCCCAAAGTGTCATCTAAAAATGCTTTACTTTCAGTAGATAAATAATGATGTGCTCAGTCAACGTGACAAATATCAACAATTTCTTGTCCCTGACCGAACAAAGCATTACGTAAACACGATTAGAGTTGTGAAAAGAATACACAAGGTCGTTACGAGTAAACGCTCCGTATAATTCATTTCCAATAACCACACTATTTCTGGGAAGGGTGAACAAATGCACGTTTGCTTGAAGGCGTTTCTTGATAGAATCCGGCGCGGAACGGTTATTGAAAGAACCACTAATAGCACAGTCAACAAGAATACATTGCGGTATTTTGAAAGGGGAATTAAAATGCGCACTTACAGCTGGAAAGGATAGAAAAATGGGAGTAAACAGAGCCATAAAAAACAGGATGAATTAAAATGACCTCACTTACCATCAGCGAATGTTTGCCTTCTGTGTTGCGGAACAACTGGATGTATGCAGTGCAGAACATAGCGAGGGATACGAACAAATTCAGGTATTCGTAGTTTTTGACATTCTCTAGATATTCAGAATTTACAGAAGTTTGAAGGGCCAAAATTAACTTTATGTTCATTTAATAGAGCCGGATTTCGGAAAACTCCGACTGCTAAAGTTTAAAACATTTCAGTTCAACGATACAAGAAATCAAACGATGAAATCTGAGCCATTTCTGCGAAACTTATTCTGGTTGCTAATTTAAAGATCACCAGTTTATTGGACGGTGAAAGTGCCGCGAAAACTTGTCTTGAAACACAGAAATGTTATGGAGGTAAGATAGTGTCCTGTGTCCTCTTGCGCTGCCAGCCAATGGAACCACAACAACATCAAATTTATGGAGAGCAACCCACCCGTCCACCAAATCAGATGTAGACGAGGAAGCAAAAAATCTCGCTGAACCACGCAGTGACTTTTGCACTATGATGAAACAGTAATATATTCAGACTACACCTCGGTCAGGCTCCCACTGGAACAGTGTACCAAGCCGGGTGTACCTTCGATCAAATCCTTCCCTTGTCTGAACCCATCTGAGCTATTTTTTGTTATCGCATGAGCAGAAACTACGTAATTCATCTCCTAAATATAGATGTAGATGAGTTTGTGCGGTGAGGCCTATATCCATGTATTCGTTTTACAGAGTCCAAGTGGACGGCGTCTGCGCTGAGATGTGAACAGCAAATCAACTATAAGCGTGGCCTATCAACGATACCTCAAGTTTAACCTAGTTGGCTAAACAGTCTTGAAACCGACTAGAAATCACGTGTTACACTGAGCAACTAACTCAGCTTCTTATTCGTTTGGATTACACTGGGGGCAAACTTAACAAGCCCAGTGTGAGAAACCTGGAAGGGCACAACTAGGAAAATGCCACACCCGTGTACGGAGGACAACAAAGACTTCATCGAGTAATTTAGGGCTAGGTTCCAGCAACACGCATTCCTAGAGGTTTGTAGAAACCAGGAAAGCTAGATGTGTCGTTCCAGTGTATTTTAAGGTGATTTTTAGGCAATACATTGTCGCATGTATATCCCTCCGGCATTTTTTATGACTTCGAATACTTATCCTGTGTTACAGAGTTGAATTTAACAGCTTCCGAGACACGAATGCACCTGTGGTCAAAAATGCGTGCCATCCTCCGACTTATTTACAAGGAAGTAGAGTCTTTCGACTTCTTCTTCAAGGCCGATGATGACACATACACAGTTTTTGAGAACTTGCTAAACGTCCTCGAGTCTCAGTCAGCGGATAATCCCTTCATGACAGGATATCGATGGCCTGTAAGTTGCTTTGATCATTTGATACATTTGTGACTTTTTGCTCACAATTTAGTGGTGTCTGTATGGCAGACTCAAGCCTGGTACCCATGGAGATAGCAGTAAAAATAGGCATAAAAATCTCTACAACTCAGCAACACTTGGTTCAACTGCTCGTTGCATCTGATAGACAACTTTCCAGACTACCTCCAAGTGACCGATGAAACGGTAATCTACAGATCAGCCTTGTGGTTGTGAAAACAGTACATGGGCTTTTATCTGCAGTCACTCAGCGTAACATAATGATACAGCATTGCAGACCTTAAACACGATAACCATACACAGTCACTCTCGACTTTTCAACACCTAGGCTATTCTTTTCCAGAGTGTCTAATTTAACTTACTCGCCGGTCATAGAATCGGTGCCTAAAAAGAGGAAGTCATTGCAGTGGTGGTATGAACTTTGAAAACCATATCAGATTCTTTGGTTAGTGAGGATTTCCAAGCATTAGGAAGAAACTACGTCTTGCCCCATATTAACAAAAAAACGTTGTTCCTTTACAAGGCTCAAAAACTCACTTTATGCCACTCTTTGAGCGTATAATATGGCCCTACGAGCTGCAATGACTTTACCTACGGAAACTAATCAGTGTCATAGACTCAAGTGAGGTTATGTTTCAATGAGAAACTTCTTCCGTTTCAAACTCTTTACTTGAATAACCCGATGTGCGGCTGTGTGGTCACACAGTACTGACCCAAAACTGCTGTCCAATGTGGTGACTTGTTGGCTTCTCCAGTATAGCCTGCTAAACGCCGATAGGTATGGAAGACTTCGTCTCCCTAGGCACTACCTGAACTGGCAACGTACTTCTCTCTCTCTCTGAAGCCTCCCCAAATTGATCTTTTCTAGCTTGTCACAAGAGTTTAATCCTGTTTCCGCCTGTTTTAACAATCTGACTACTGTTACGCTTGGAATAACTAGTCGATCGAGAACGTTTCTTCGTATATTCGTAAAAGCTCGTGAACTCAAGGATTCTGATTAAATCAGTGTACCTAGTTATTGAAAAACATCCTACCTAGCTCTGAAAGAGAGCAGTAGCTGGTTGCTTTTTCATTCATACATCCAGTGAAAGGTATTATTATAAATCCAGGCTCAAACTAGCTAATAAACTGCGGTTATAACACAGTGACCACTCTGTATAACACCTGGACGAGTAGTCAAGTACAAATGCCTACTGAGTGCAATGAACCAATACACGTGTAACAGCTGATACGGTTCAGGCAGGTAACTTTATTGGGATAATAGTCAACAATATAAAACTTCACTAAAAGCTTAGAACAAAGGAGCAATTCTCGATTAATCACTCGGCATTCTCAGTATGTCAACGAACTAGGAATGGGTACAGCAGACAGGTCCCTCAATTTAGCAGAACTTAGGAAAGAACTCCTGCTGATGTCTGGGATTGGTTGGCGCAGATTACTTGGAATGCGCTCAACCGGGAAGTCACATGTAGGTCAAAATCAGTAGTACTCTAGCTGAGAGTTTAAGTAGACTTCCCATACTACTTGTATTAAGCAGAAGATACGTTTTTATTTATAGTGGACCCTGCATCCATCTTGGATGCTGCAACTTATGACTATGAGGGAGTTTGTCAAGTCTCTACTCCAATCTTCTCACCATACATTTGCTCATGCAAGCCGTTCACAGTTATGGTTTGTAGATGTCGGTGGTCAAAGGACAGGAAAACCTGCGCTCACAAAAACAACGTCAGAACCTCATAAGAACATAAAGCCCAAGAAATTCCTAAACTCAATGAGAGATCACAGGTAACTTTCGATACACAATACTGAGACAAATGCGGGCCCCTGAGGAGCGCCCGCCATCTTAGTGTTACACCCTCAGCGAGGTTAAATTGATATCCAAGACGAGTAAAACATTCCACAGCATTTGTCGTTTCTGTTCGGCTGAAAGTAGACGTACAACATGAACTTATGCTACCTGTTTGCGTACAACATTTCGCAGTGGTGAATACTCCTTGCCTATCTTGCTATTTCCGGTCTCTTTGTGAGAAAAAGGAGGAATGGCGTTTGCGTGCTCCACGTCTACAGGGTCGCCTCTCCCGGTGATTCGAGTATCGGATGTAAGGAGCACGGTAAGGGTAACCCTTAATACTCTAGTGATTATATAGATTGTATAAGATACTGGTGATGGAAACCATTGGTTGTAAAGTGCGTTGCAGATATCCCTCTCTATTCTTGCACTCACAGTTTGCTGAAAGTACGAGAAGTGGAGAAATGCACGATGCTCTTACGTGCCCCATTTGCCCTTGTTATTGATGGGCGTTACGAGTTAGATGTTTAAATGTCACATTTATTGACATAGAAACAACTCAAATTTGAAAACACAACTTGCTCCACCATGCTGCAGTTTTTGCTAACCTACCACGTGACAGCTCAATCCAATCGTCTTGTTCACCAAACCGTTCATCAAGCATAAGTTTCGCCGGCTATTTCAGTAGTATTTTGTTCATCAGTAGATTCTTTGATCAAAGGAACCAAATATACGTTACTTTACTCCCATCCCCCTGACTGCGCTCCAGTATACATCCTGAGAAAAGCCCCGGAGAGTCTATACTTGTCCGTTTAGGCAAACGTCACACAAGGCCTTCTCACCCGAGTGACTCACTTTCCCATCCTCATTCTTCTAAACCTACAGCTCCGTATAGAAGGCGGTTACTTTTCTGGCGGAGCCGGCTACGTCCTGTCACGGGAGGCACTAAAGCGCATCGTGGAGGATTCCGTTGACCGTCATGTGAACTGTCCAAAAAATGATGAAAACATGGAGGATGTGAAAATGAGTAATTGATTGTTGGTTTTATTCTATTTTACGAGAGGGTTTTCGTAGAAAGAATTCCTTAGGTTAAAAACAGTTTATTTACTAGATACGTTTCTTGTTGCTCTACGGTAGGCTATTCACTCAACAGAAATGGTCTAGAATTCATTAACTGAAAAAGGTTGAGTTATTGATCCTGTCTTGTACATTTTATCCAAGTCTAAAAGCTATTTTAACTATATTATTCTGCATACATTACGAGAGGGTTTTCGTAGAAAGAATTCCCTATGTTAAATACAGTTCATTTATTTGATCTGTTTCTTGTTGCTCTACGGTGAGCTGTTTGCTCAACAAAGATCGTCTAGATTCAGTAATTTGAAAAAGGTTGAGTTAGTGATCCTGTCTTGTACATTTTATCCAAGTCTAAAAGCTATTTTAACTATATTATTCTGCATACAGCAAATGAGAATAGTTTCCATCATTTTTTAAAAAAAATTATAATTATGCCGGTAGCCTGACCAAAAATTCTTATTTTTCACTTTTATTGTAAGCAACCCTTGAAAACGTTCCGAAACCTTCCGTGACTAAAACCGTTACATTAAAAATTATCATATGCTACTTGCCACGACCAGAACACCAGGATATTTCAGCTCACTTTGAACCCTTAAAAACCCTTAAAGTGCTCAGGTCTAATTTCATCAATTGAACAGTTTACAACGCCCACGTCTGATATGTACGTGCACGAAATACGCGAAACATAATTGTTTCTCAAATGGCGGTGAAACACTTTGTCATCTTTTTTCAACATGGTGCACATCATTCCCCTGCTTAGGGGAACACACATGAGCTTACGACTGTGGTACGATTGTAAAAACCATAACCAAACTACGTTGTTATAGGTGGGACTCATTGTGTGGGTGAAAAATTTTTTAGATAAGGTTACCCTTTTTAACCATTTGCCAATTGTTGAAAGTAGCATACAGACACCCGTCTGAACGGGTTGACTGCCAGAACGCAGCCCAACGCCTGAAAACGTTTATAATTTGACTTCTTATCTGAGCTAATCGTCAAAGTTAGGTAATGATCTGCCAACCGGAACATATGAAGCACCCCACTTCACAGGGTACTGGCAACGGTCTAAACTTGACTCTGTAAATTTCGATTCTTTGTACGGCTCGATGTCCGATTTGTCTCAGCACAACCCGAAAACTATTCAGAAGGCTATTCAGGTTTTAGAACTAATGTACCCTAGAGGACGATGACGGTGAACAAAACAAAACTGCAATGCTTAACTCAGAGCTGATTTACTGATATTCTTGAATGCATGGGAAGCAGAAAGAAGTAAACGCGAAAAGTGATCAGATAAGCCCAACCTACCACAGGAATAATGCTATCTGTCCTTGAACGTTTGGCAACTCAGAGTCATTCGGTCGATAAATGCTGCTCAGCTCATGATCATCTAAGTGTTTACCAGTCCCGTCATCGAATACTTAGGGTGGTTTACCAACCAAACTACTACCCTCAACGGACACAATTTTTCACCCGATTGTGAGCACTTCAGGCTATTTTTAGACAATGCACGGCCGTTCGTCCGCAACAACACGGACTCTGCCACTGTCGCATTAAACGGTATCTACAGGTCACCGTTGAGCAACCGCTTGTATTCTGTGCTGGTGTACTCATTCACATCAGTACACACCAGAGGGTGAAATGCTGGTCTAGCGTTTTTACCTCGTTATAGCTAAGTGTCAGGGCACTTACTTGACCGTACCAAACTTCGAACCCTTGAAGTTTAACCTTCAACGTTTGACTCATAATATGGTTAACTTTGCTCGTCGTTGGGAAGAATAACTAAAAAGATCGGATTAAAGTAACACTTTTTCTGCTTTGAGCTCACTTAAACCATCGCTTTCGATCTGGTAGGTGACGAGAGCGACATGAATAGATGTTCCGTAAGTGGAGCAGCTATCCGTCATTTCCTTCAGCCCAATGGAAGCTTAATGTAGCTTGATTAAAAGAGGCAAAAAAGCTTTCGAGAAATACACTCATTTGCAAATCAATTTGGTTTTTACGGGAGACTCAAGTAGATCATAAGGTTGACGGAAACTCGGGGACTGCGCCTATCTGATGAGCCCCAAGAAGGGCGAAACCGGTCGTGGGCTGTCGAAGAGTTTTCAGCAACCTTGTGAGTAGTTTCCTTTATGAAAATATACTGCGATATCTCGAATATCGTGCCAACTGAATCATATGGCGGCCTGTGTGCAGCACATTCAGCTGGGGGACATCATAAACGAGAGATTCAATTGAGTCTCACGGGGAAACCAAGTTGATTTGTAAATGAGTGTAGTTCTCAAAAACAGTCCAATTTGGGTTCAAGTAGATCATAAGGTTGACGGAAACTCGGGGACTGCGCCTATCTGATGAGCCCCAAGAAGGGCGAAACCGGTCGTGGGCTGTCGAAGAGTTTTCAGCAACCTTGTGAGTAGTTTTCCTTATGGGCAAAAAAGCTATTTTTATAACTTTGACTAATCTTGTTCATCTTTAATCTGTCTGTACAAATCTTTGTTTAAATGAGCTGATATTGTTCAATTCCATAACCATTCAACTAGTTCTGGGACAGATGATAATAGACGTGGTAATCCCAAGTCAGTGACATTAAAGTTTGAGATCTAGTAGCTTTTTGTTTTTTTTGTTTGTCTGAACATTGTCGTCCGATTTTTTCAACGTTTGACCGTGGAATCAGTCGGCTGTCTTTAAAATTGATGGATTCTCAGTGAAAAATGAATGACCTTCCGATTCATTCAAACACACTGATTACCGAATTCCTATTTTGTTTCACTGGTTCCTTTATCAGGTGTGTGTGGACATGCGGTGGGAGTTAAACGGTACGACAGTTTTGACGAGGACGGAAAATCGGTGTTTTGTCCAACGACGATCTCGGAACCTTACCTGAACATAAACACAACTATCTCCGAGGGTGACTTGGAAAAGGTGGGCACAACAACTGTTTACACCTTCAGATAAGGCTCCGAAAAGGGCCTCCACACCAGACTTGAGTGAATCGGCGTTTGCTTTACAGGTACAGCCGCACACTGCAATGTCTCGTGCGCTAAGCTTCAGGTGAAGATGTCTGAGTGCACACGTAATGTTGTGACAGCTAGGGTGATATCACAACAATTTTGGAGGGCAACCAAGCACAATATGAGTGGTTACAACAAACGCGATCGTTTTGTCTCCACGCAATCAGACTGCCGATTAGCATATCGCCGTTTCATCGCGGTCACTTGTGTTACTCAAAATGATCACTGCTGAGTTAAGACATTAAATTCTCTGTAGCTAAAGGCCTAGCAAGATAAATTAGTTTTAACGATTAAAAAGACTTGAACCAGGCGCGTAACTTCATTCTGCTTGCTCCCGGAAGCGAAAGTGATAAAGCATTCCAATTTCCGGACAGTGATTTATCCAGACTGTCTACGGCTTCAGTTCAGAAATCTGTCTACAAACAGCCCACCTGGATAGTACGGTAAACAACATTTCATAGTTTTATGGCAACAAGGCAGAAATCAAGTCTGATTTACACTCCACCGAGCAGTGTGAAGTAAATGCACTCTTCGTGCACACTGAACTCTCAACTGAAGCACACCACGGATAAGCTCACATTTGACAGTTATCCAAAGACGGCTATAGCCACAAACGTCCTATCTGTCACTACAGCCGGAAAGGGGCCCGTCTACTTGAATTTAAACCAAAAAGGTGATTTGTTGACAGACACAGCTAATGGTTGCTTGTTTCAATCTCTGAAATGGACTTTTTCGGCTGCAACTATGTGATCTTGATCTCAAAGACAAGATGCCAGCCCTCATCCAGAATGTGATTGTGTGTGTTTTCTTTCGCTTTTGTTAAGCGCAGTAGGTCGGACGCAGCCTGCTGAAGGAACATCCCTTTTCGGGATATCATTAGATCCAATGGTTTAGTTGGTCACCGGATTGCATTAACACAAGTCGCAAAATCGATCCAAATGAATTTTTTACAGTATCTGCAGTTTACCCAATAGATTGTCAGTATTGATTCAAAGGGTGTTGCGTGACCACAACCGGATCAGCCGCAGTAGGACTGAATCGAAATAATTTCGCACAAGCTCTGAGTCTACCTAGGTCACGTGACATTGATCAGTCGACTTAGTCGCCCAACAGCCCATCAGACCACCTCCCAGCATCAAACTAGATGCGACTTGGGCCTCGTTGACAAAAACTTCTCCGTGTTTCCGCGTTTTCTAATTAATTGACCAAACGTATTTCAGTAACCGATAAGTATGCACTGATATGATGACTAAATCCAGGAATCATGAATTTTTATCAGTGTTCATATTAAGAAAGTCCTGCATAAGCCTTACAGCGAACACAATTTTACCTAAAAACCTGTTTGACTCGTCAGGAAAGAGCTCTGTAGAGTATGGGTAACCATCTATTTGGTCTAGAACAGAAAAACGCTTACAAGATAATGTCCAGCGCGCAGTCAGCTGGTCACGACGCCTACGTCTTCTCGCAATTAGCAGAAGGCTCAAAATTACCCGTTCATACTATTGTGAGAGGTACATCTATACGTGGTCAGAATTTTCAGATGTTACAATCTGATTTTATCCAATATTAGAGGCCGCCTGGCTATTTATTGCATTCCAATACCAATTTTAAGCAAATTTTTTTAAATCCATTCAGATCTGAAATCAGTTTTTGGTTCGAAATAAGGAAAGATTTGTTATACTTTAGGGTTTAATAATAGTATATTTTAACATGACCTGCAAAATAAGGCTTAGAGTCAGAAAATAAACTCAGAGTTTAGATGGTGAACTTTCTATGCAGTTCAAAACATGTTTAACCGTGCGCCCACTGTCCTGAACCAGAAATAACAGATTCTACTCTTCCGTCTAGTACATTTCTAGTGTCTGTATTTTTCAAGCTCATCTTGCCTATCTTGAATGACATTAATGAAACTTTTTCGAAAACGTTTGGTGACAATCGGTAGACTATTGCTGGGCAACGTTTCGCTTTTGACACAAAAGCTTCGTCAGGCCAAGTGTCTAGGTTCCGAGGTTGGTGGAGACTTAAGGCGGAAGGGTAATCAATCAGCTACGTCAAGCTAATTCTCTGTTGGGTATCGACAGAGGGATTTTAGTGTGTTTGAGTGGTTGAACAAGTGTTGGATCGGTAGGGAAGCCTACCTGTGTTTGGGTCCAGCCTAGGGTCTAGTTCTTCTGGTTCGGTTCATTTGATAGTTCCTCTTGAACTTCGCTTGAACCTTCTGTCAGTCTGTGTGGGTGAGCTAGTGCCAAGATGGTTGTGTAAGAGGGATGCTGCGGTTGGGGTTTCCACCCCCACCCCTCGGTTTTTTTCTAATTATCCTAAGTGGATTGACAACCACACCGTCACGTGTCAACTCGGCTTATCTAAGACCGCTTTCCATACGCGCGCTAGCTCCACACCCTCGATTCTATTCACGCTATGATGCTTAGTAATTTCCACCGCCTAGGCTATCAGCCGCTGTGGTGTGAATCGCGGTCCCCGCCTTAAAACTTCCACACTCTCCAGATATATTCTATGTCCCGTGTCTAAGGAACATCGCTGAGTCTTTGACCAGCGTTTGGTATTCTTCTGCATAAAACTTTGTGTGAGCTGCTTCAAGTTCGTAAAGGATGAGTCCCAGAAGCTAAAATTTCGGTTACAGTCACTCTCCAGTTCGTTTTGATTTGAGTCGCAGTTAATAAGCTACCTGCGTTCCTTGTACGCATCGGGTTCAGCGATTTGATGCATTCAGCTCGATAATATCTTTTTTGGTAAAGCTTGCATAAAAATGTTGAAAGTGACCTCGTCTCCCCGGAATACTCTCAGACACCAAATAGTTACAACTGTCTTAAATACAACGCTTTGTTTTCACTGGATGAATTAGCAGCCTGCTGTCCCATTATATACAATTTGGAATACATACATCCAGTATCTCACTCACACCATAACCTGAGTAGTGTTCATAGAAGAATGCAAACCAAAATTTGGCGTACCAAATTCTACATTTATTTGACGTCACTTGACACTCGGGAGAAAGGAGCCAGTGGTCATCAAAAGATAGAAATTTGTTTCCCCAACGAAAAAACTGTGGTCAGAGACAAAATCGGTGGCCGTACACTAAAACGTTCCTCATGATGTCTCATCTTTCGTAATGAACTACTCATAAGGCTGCTAAAAATTCCTCGACAGCCCACGCCCGTTTCGCCCTTCTTTGGGGCTCACCAGGTAGGCACAGTCCCTGCGTTTCCGTCAACCTTATGTTCTACTTAAAAACAAATTTCCTGGAAACATCAAAACCAAGAGACTCAGCTGGGTTCTGGGTGAGTCTCTCGCAAGACCAAATTTGTTTCCAAATTAGTGTATGCCTCATTTATTGTTCTTCCTTTTTTAGATGGGACACAGTTATCGGCAGGCCACATTTCACTACGTCGCAGCGAATAAAATGTACATTATGGAGTTCTGTCACTATTATTTGCGGCCACAAATATTGCGTTTCCAAAGGGCTATCAATTAATGCCCTTATTCACATCAGATATTTAATCTGTTAGAAAATATTTTTTGTCCAAAACTAGCACTTCTTATTTTTCTACTACAACTTGAGTCATCAAACAGTCGGAGTCATTTACACTGTTAAATGTCCCTGTGCTTTGCATTTGCAAATACATACGTTTTATTGATGGACCACATTAGTTCTGATTCCCACAACACCGTCAGTTCTCGAATTCCTGATTGGTTGATCAAAGTTGCTTGAGTCGGTACTAGATAGAATAAACGTGCGTCACGTGTCATAAAAGTAAACAAACCAGCCAAGTTGGATTTGTTGTCCATCTGAATCACGCTGCTGGATGTCGGCAAAACAAACAGACATGCACACTTATCTGGTTGAGTAATGTCCACAATAATTTCTTGTAAAAGTGGGTACAGCTTGTCGGTTCGCTTCCCTAAATAACGTTAGACTTCGACCTTCTTAGGGCTCATCACGTAGGCGCAGTCCCCGAGTTTCCGTCAACCTTATGTTCTACTTGAAACCAAATCGGACTGTTTTCGAAAAGTACGCTTTGTTGCAAATCAATTTGGTTTTCACGAGAGACTCAACTGAATCTCTCGTTTATGCTATTCGTGTCAAGTGAAACATGAGATAACCTGTGTCCAGTACATTCAGTTGTAGAATATCATAAACGAGAGATTCAGTTTGTGAAATTGTTTCTCGAAGGCTAGGTCCCGTTTAATTTTCCAAACCGAAGGCTGGTCAAAAGTGATCTAAATATTGCAGCATAGCATTTTTTGCTTCATGGAACTAACTTCTCCTCCGGATATCAAAATTCTAAATACTGATCAACTGCAACAAATGACCATAGGATTTACAGTTATGGAGCAAAATTTGGACGGAAACAGTGAGCTTTTTGACTCACATGTTGAGCAACACATAATCATAGTAAAGACGCCTAATTTGTGTTGTGAATCACCAACAGCACTGATCTCACGAATCTCTAAGATTACTCGACCTCGATGGTCGAAAATCATCTCCGATCACAAACAGTCCGGTTTCGGCCGAGTCGACCTTACTTCAGCGCAGGAGGTAGCACAGACGTGCTTGCGAAGGTTTGTGAAAGTTCAAAACTCCTCTCACTAACTATTTGAAAGCATCCATCTTTTTGTAGGTCGACCATCTGATAAACTCCAGTCCATGAGACAGTTCATACCACAAACTAGACGGTGATATTATTTTCTGCCTAGATGCCTAGATGTTCACAATGCTGATCAACCAGTTACGTCCGAATTGTGCAGTATTGAACGGCTACATCCGGGTTAAGACCAACACAGCGTGTGCATTGATTTACTGATTTCAGACAGCGAGAAAGTGACAAAATATTTTAAATCCCATCAACTACAAACGGTGGGCATCTCTTGCCTGGATAAATGGCGACTACTTTCATTCAGTATGGTGCAGCAACAAGGGTGCAGGGTGTTGTAGTGATTTTTCTTTAGTGTTTTCATCACTTTTATCTATGAGAGAACCTCATCATCCTACTTGCTAAGGTTATCTTGACAGATTATGGATGCCCTTACCTCAAAGTAATGCTTAACAGCCTTTCAGGTATCTTAATATTTTTATGTTTGGCCGAGAAGCAAACGATAGGGGGAAGCAATATATATGAAGATAGCACGACGTAGTTATTTAAATAAATGTACACTTTTCTGTAGAGAAAAATCTTGGTAGCTCAGGTAGCTTGTTCGCTGAGCTGGGCAATTTGATTGCAAACGTTTCATCAGTGCGTTATTGGGGACCGTAGTGGTGTGTAGCCGTGGGTTAGTAATTCTGCGGTCGCGTTGTGGTCTTTTCTGTAACAACCCATCATCATGTCTGGACGTGGTAAGGGTAATAAAAGACTCGGGAAAGAAGGAGCGAAACGCCGTTACGAGGTTCTCCAGGATGACATCCAGGGGATCACCAAGCCTGCAGTCCACCGTCTCGCTCACCGAGGTAGTGTGAAGCTCATCTCCTGTCTGATCTACAAGAAGACCTGCAGGTGTTCCTTGAGAACATCATCCGTACGCTTGACTACCCGTCAACATATGTGTGAAGACATGCTAAGACCTCTGTGTTTACACGTTACCCTAAGATTCGTTGGCCATCACATGAACATCGTGGATAGCTTCACTCAGTTTCACAGTCAAACATATTGTGCCAGCTACCAGCATTCAAACAAAAGCAGTGCACTTATGCAATCCCAGTCAGGGAGACATTGAGATCGGTTCCACCTAGTTCTATGGTTGACAGAGACCGGTACAAAACTAATCGTCCAAAATTATACAGGTGAAATTCTGTGAGTTAAGCAGTTAAGTCTCTTGTATATGCAGCTATTTAGACCACAAAATTCTCTCAAAAATACTGGCGTTAGCATCCATCACCAACGCACATTGGTCGTTCCCAGTGATATATTTTACAAGCCTTAAAACTAGGCGGTCTGGCGTCAACAGGACACCAGCCGTTGTGCTGCAAAATCGTTGATTTCAAATATCGGGTGTTGTTTTGACCTTTACCATTACTGAAGTTCTTGGAGCACCAAGTACCGTAGAGTCGATTGCCTTCCTACCCGAAACGAGAGAAGTTTTGTAAACAGTTGACATTCGCACCTACTACCAACGTGTCCCTGTCAATACACAAGAAACCTCACCCTATACGACTGAGCTGTCCAGTGAGCTTAATAACTGAGTTGCAAACGTTTTGCCACCAGCCAAAAATAGTGAATGATAACAAAACGTTACACCACCAGAAATGTTAAATAAACTAAATTCTTATCTTTCGATTATAGAAATTTCATTCGTTTCTCCTGTCTAGTAGACCTTGCTATTCATAAACCGAGTCAAATATTGTTGAAGCGATTTAACTTTTCAAGTTTCTAACTGCATGTGAATGAATATCGCCGTATTTTGTAGGCTGAATGGTGATTATAGTCCGTTCGCCTAAGAGACAACTTAAAGAAGAATGTATGACGTTTGTTTTTTATTCACCCGCTTAGTCATACACCCGATCCTCATGGGACTGTTTACGTCTTCAAATACATCACATTGCTTATATATAACAATACCATCCAGTATGGAGGTGAGTCACACTCAATTAGGTGGATAGGTGTCACTGAACACCAGAATTACTACAAGTAAAAGTTGAACAATTGCCCCCAGGCCGTCTTTTTTGTGCGCATGCATTTTATTCTTTCCGTCAGTTTCTTCCTTTGTAAAAAACGGCCACACAAAATTTCTCGCTAAATTCTGTGATGATCACAAGCATAGTACCGTAGTTTCCGTCAACCAATTTTGTTCTACTTGAAAAAAATTGCACGAAATTAGCGAATATACACCCATTTCCAAACAAATATGGTTTTGCAAGACTCACTTGAAACCCAGCTGAACCTCTTGCTTGTGATATTTTTTAGTCAATCAACCCAAGAAATTTCCAGCACATGATATCTCCCAAAGGCAGGAAGCTTGATAATGGCAACATGCGACGTCCTAATGGGAAAAAGAAACTTCACTGTGGGATACTCCGAGAAAGCTCACTCAAGATAATGAAAACTTTTTTTGCAAAATTAAGTCAACTAAGTAGAATATTATCGTATCTTGTTTGCAAGTTTCCCTTTAAAATCCTACGTAAAAGCTTCAGACGTTTTTGTCTCGTAAATTTCTAATCGAATATGAGTAGCGAAATTAGCATAAGGGATATTCGGTGTGAGAACCTATAATATCTCATCAGCACCGAGTGCACAGACTGAAGAATAAAACGCTAGCTATCTGGATTAAGACGCAGCACGACAAGAAGGCTGTGATCTATAAAATCGATTATTAGATGATAGTACGAATATGGTACAAAAAGTCTTGCTTATAAAACAATGGTTTGAGAGTCACATAACTACCACAAACATTCGGTCAGGGAGCTGACTGCAGGCATTAATAGTTGAAGTTTTTCACAAGCATTTTGGTGTCTCCCAAGTCAAGAGGACCTAAACTGACTTCGATCTACTCAGCCAGAATTTCCAAACAAAACCTTCCAGCTCGTCATCGCGTGCTGTTGGACACGCCGCAGATAATCCAACAGTCTCTACCTATGTTTGTAGCATGTGCTAGAGCTGAGCCCACTATTTCCTTTAGGTTTGCGAGTTTTGGTACCTTCATGTCCTGATGGATAAAACAGCTTGTACGATCAACACCATCTTTCTAACAGTGTGTATTACGCCTTCTAATTCGCTATACAAACTAAGCTGGAAGAGTAGAATAAACGCTAAAAACTTAGTCAACTACTACAGCGAAATTTCAACAATCCACAATAAAAAACCATACCCTACCTCAGCCAATCACTCATCCAGTTTCCCCGTTCACAAGCAAAAATATTTCTCGTTCCAACTGGCGTGGTGCAAATGTGATACAGTCTAACTTATAGTCCTATGTCAAAATAATGGTCGTCGATAGCTGGCCACAACCTCCTTTACTCTTGAGACAGTATGCTCCAGACCATGAGATCATTGTACTCGGTAATGTTTTTTCTTCGCGTCACTGGTTATAGACTGGCACGGTGACGCTCGGTCTTATCCATTTTGCGACGCCGTGGAGAACAGATGAAAAACTTCTTGTCATTCTGGTCAGCTTCACAGATATCAAGCTAAGTTGCTTCAGGAAGCTCCTCATTCTAAAAGTCTTGTGCTTTTTAGGGTGGTTTTATCATAATTTGGTTAGCGGGGGCTACGGTTGAAAGTACCTAAGTTTGGTGACTAATATTCTATTTTCAACATCCACTTTAATGATGAATCGAGGTGCTAGTGAATACAAATTTCGGAACACTTCTTGTATTCTCTGAATTTACATTCTCGAATATAAGTTGGTAGGTCTTTAATTTCTACCACAATATGTTCCAGATCGTCGCAATAACTTTGCACTGCAACTCTAGTTGGACGGCATTCGCTTAACTGATCCTCTACCAAATATCAATAAAATATGCAACAAGGTGTTTTCACCAAA